GGAGGGGGAAGAAAGAGGGTGTTAACTGGGAAACGGCTGAGGCGCATTTTTCGCCAATCCGGCTGCCCTTCGCACACACACAACTCGACCTTCTTGGCCTTCCTTGTTCCCTGGTTAGTATTTTTCCTGCCGAAGGTTCCGCGTATCCGTACGCGAAACCCAAGCGAAATAAGGAGCTGACTTTGAAGCCTTTGAGCGTGAAATAACTTTTCAAAATCTCAAGTTTTTTAGTCTTTGCTGCTTCCGGGTTAGTAAATTTCACACGCTCATACGTAAAGTCCAGACGTATTTAGGAGCCGAATTTGAAATCTTTAGCTCATGCATGCACACGGTACATCCCTTTAAAATCCTAGCTTTCTAGTCCTACTGTATCCGAGTTAACGGTTTTCCAGCCGAAACTTCCACATGTCTTTGCGTGAGACGTAAGCGTATTTAAAAGGGGCCTCGCTTGGCCAGGAAACCCATCCACAGAATTACAGCGCCTAAGCTTGCTTGGTTAGCAAGTTGAAATATCCGGGACAGACGAACAAACATAAACATGCACGCAGAGAAGTAGCCTGAAGCGGGTAAGGGGGCGCGGGGACAACGCCACAATGCCATGCAGCTTTCCCAGCCTCAGGCCACTCTTGCCCGCTGAACATTCGTTACTCGTTCGATAGACTCCACTTGTTTGAAAGAAAATCAGCAGCAAACACATTTCCCGACTGCATTTTGCTGAAAATGCAAAAGTACGCTGTGTGTGTGTGTGTGTGTACGTTTGGAGAGGTATGCATGCAATTTAGGCGTGGGAGCGCAATGTAAATGTGGCAGAAAGGAATAACAAAGCATGTATTACGTCGGAAGCAGTTACTGTATAAAAACGCAACAACAACAAGCACTAAATTATTTCGTGGAGCCCTCAAAACGCGATTTCCGCTTGGCTTCCGCTGCATTTCCAGAAACATTTGCAGCCGCACTGGCTGCTGCCTTCTTTTCCAAAGCAGCGTTGTACTTCTCCATCAGCTTTTTCTGCTCCTTCGCTGCAAAATGCACATTTCTGAAGTGCTATTGAAGAAATCGAACAACCAAAAAAAAGGTTCGGGGAAGGCTGAACGCCGGGGCGGAAAATTACTTAAACCGTTCAAAATGTTAACGTTATTTCAGCTAAAATGCATTTGAAAAATATTCGTACATATATAATGAAAAAAATTGCACCTCAATCAAGAATATCACATTCTGCAACAATACACTTTTTTAATGTTAGTTTCAGCCATTTAAATTAAATCGATCCAAAATTTATTAAATGACCAAGCGATACTTTACAGATAATAACTGTATTCGGACAAAACCCAAATTACCGCAAATGCAATAGCCCCGAGATAAAGCAAAAGAAGAAGATACCCTTCCGCATCACGGCACTCTTCATCCATTTCAAACTTTTGCAAATTTTAACGGCCAAGCAATTTTTATTTGCAGTGCGGAAATTTATAGCAAGAGCTTAAAAAGTATGAGTTGCATGAAGCTTACCAATCTCGTCATAATAGCAGTCCTTCGTGAATCCGTGCGGATTAAACACAGCTGGGTCAAAATTCGAGCCCAGTTCATCCACCTCAAATTTTTCGATCAATTTGGCATACATGGATGGATTTTTAAAATCGCGTCTTTTCTGGATCATTGCATTTAGATCAGCTCCTTGTGCTTTCTTCTCAAAAAAAACTCGGAAACGTTCCTGAAAAACCCGATCAAGTTTTTTACTGGTTTGTTAAGGAGTGTGTGTGGCTTCTGCAAGTATTGTGTTTGCGCTACAGATGTGGCTCGAAGCTGGAAACAGAATTCCCATCAAGCACAAATACAGCTGTGATGCCCGGTAATCTACACAGGAAAGAACAACAATAAAACTCCCAAGCAAAATTTCAAAGGAGGCGCTAGAATACGATATCTGGGGATAAAATAAGGCGCTTGGGGAAGGAAGGTGAGGGCTTTATCAAGGATTCGAAAGGAACAGGAGGTCAGCTGATGATTTTCAGCGAGATAATTTAGTTGAAAGTGGTGTAGCGGTTGAAGACCAAGGAGTTGTGGGCCAAAGCTCCTCCACAACAATAGTTTTAATCAGTGGACAGTCACTTCAAGTTGCAGCAGTAAACAAAGAACAAAAAGATCTATAACAGAAAAAAAGTAACAACTCTGTCAGAAAATCCATCATCGGCAGTAACAAAGAATTCCTTTTTTAACCGCTTTTTCTTTTCCACTTTAGATTTCGAGCAAACTTTGTCGGAGTCATGCATAAAATTGCTCAAAAGTTTGAAATTATGCGAAAATACATGCTATTCCGAATTTTCACTTTATAAAATGTTTACTTTGCTGACAGCTAGTAAATGTGGCCTGTCAGTGAGCGCGCTTTTGAACGCCTTCGAAAGGAGGAACGAGTCTGCGCAGTAACGACGGAGGATACTAGTAAAAGAAACGCTGAATAGGGCAGAATAGCTTACAGAAGCTGAACTCGACTTATTTTAAATTATCTTCCATTATTATATTCGATTCTTATTATAGGTATTCTTATTATCGTATCGACCGACGTAATGATGGAGGTAGTCTTTTAAAATTTTTAACCTCCAAAAAAATTTTTGTTTTATTTTCTACATTTTTCATTTTTCTCTTTAATTCATCAGATTGCATGTTTCTAATACTTCTGCTGAAACCGTCACACTGACTAAGTTCGGTTGCAGCACTGAATGGGAATGTATGCGATTTAATGGACCGAAACATTCCAATTCAGTTTTTATTTTTCACTTTTAACTTTTTACAACCTTCTTCAAAACCAAAAAATATCTAAATTTAAATTATAGGTGATCTCCAAGAATAGTGCCTGGTCTCGGAAAACCCGATCAAGTGATTTTAACAAACGCTGTTGATGAGAAAGCCAAACAAATGAACTGCTCGGCGGCACAGTGGTCTGTGGCGTAATAAGGGCAGTGCACCCATCGAGATCTATCGTTTGCCCACTTGTCATTTCTCACTTTCCATGACAACGATATTAACTAGCACAGCATATTTCGGATAACAGAATCACTGAATGCTTATAAAAATTGGCGCTGGCAAATATTTCACAAAACAAAATTTCGAAAGAAGTACATGGACCCGGCTGCCCATCGGGAGGGCAAATCCACAGTGCTATGAGTTGCTAACCGTAATTTTAAGTGTAAATGGATTTACCTCAAGTTCAGGAGGACATTTTGCAGTTGGCGATGGTGGCAATTTTATTTCCACCGCATCATCGTGCATTGCGGGGCTCTCCCAACCTTCCACCGATTTCGATGCCGGACTGCCAGCAATGCCTTGCTCCGCTCGATTTCCCTCCTGGAAAAAATGCAAGCAAAAAGTGCAGGAAATATCGAGCTCAATCAGCGTTTTCAGAAATTCAGAGAACGACTCTGATCAAACCTAACATGCATGCCCTATATGACAACTTCATATGCTTACCATTTCGCGTAAGCGTTCCACAAGGTTGTCAATGGTAATTTCATCTGGCGATCGACTGTCCTCATGCCCTGGGGGTGGTTTTGGCTCACGACTGGTCGATCCCGTACCGCCAGAACCCTTCTTTTGAGCCAACATATTAGCAATTGCATTTCGATCAGCTAAAAAAATTACAAAATAAGAAATTTGTTTAGAGTATGGAACATGTGCTGTAGTAAAGTCTTGAAAAGAAGAAAAGCCTTGAAAATCTTGAAAGTGCACTGCAAATAGCAAACTGTGGGTTCTGTTGTCGAAGCTGTATCACTTGATGGATAAAGTGCAGCAGGTTCCGGCATTCATTTTGTTGCTTTTCTCTTTGATTTCCTCCTTTCAACGAAGAAAATCACCCAAAAAATCACGTGAAGTAACTCATCCCCGTATTTATATCTTAGCCCCGTTGATCAACTTTTTTTTTCCACCACATAATCGACGGGTAATAGAAGAATACTAAGACCACTCGGGTAACACTGTGGTTGTTGTATATCAGTGATGTTACAGGGATGCTCCCACACGCCGGGCACAACTATGCCTCTTCGATCTGGGCTGTATACATCCATTAGCACCCATCGCCTGTTCCACGTATTTGCAGCACGTCTTTGCGGGCCACTCGAGCGACCGTTTTCTTTCCTGATGATACTACTCACTACACCCACCAGTTATTAGCACAGCCGCAAATAACATCCCTCATGTCACTCATCAGACACGGAGTCAGACTGTTTATACGGTCACAGTGAGAAAAAGGCAAGCAACCCCTTTTCCATCGTTCTCTCCGTTATAACCAGCCCTTCAAATTTCGTAAGTGACCCTGTTTCATATCCGTACGTCACTGTCCTCAGTGCCACTGTTGAAAAGAACTTAAAAAAAATGATCTCTACAAAAAAAAAGCTTTATAAAACTAAAAAAGTGGAAATCCAGAAAGAGAACAACGTTAACACAGTGGCGTGGACACAAACGGCTCACAAAGCAACTTCTAGTTTTTCAAAAAAAAAAAAAAAATCTCTTCAATCTGAGGAAAACAATACGATGCACCTTTGGCAAACTGATCCTCCTCCTCCTCCTCGTCGTCCGCTTCACCGTATGCGACCAACGA